AATTTCCAGCCTGCCCTCACCCCCTCCCTAGCCTGAAGCCCTCAGTTGCCTGAAACTTGTTTTCTTATGGTTGCTGTTGTTTTGTTTCTTCTTAGAGCTTTCGGCTTGCGGGTATTTTTAAAGACCAATTCTCGAGCCCCGCATTTTAAGAACGGTCTCTATGCAGTGTAACTAACTGATAATTAGTATATCTGCACCTTCCAACGACTGTCCTCATTCCTCAATCCCAATTAATCATTTGTAAAATGTATGTCTTCAAATATGCATAAACCTGATGTCCTCCTCAGATCCAAATTATACCCTCTACCTCAACTACACCCGCCATTGAGGTCGTTTAACTCAACCTCAACTCCCCCTGCCTTTTCCAGTAGAAAGGACTCAACAGAATCCCAGAGAGGGTAGCCATTATTAAGAGTTTAGATTTGCTTGTTGCTGGACAACTGGAGCTTCCATGGCTGCCCTACACGGAACACGGGCCACCTCTCCGGGATCAGAGCTTGTCAAGCGCTGGGCCAAGCCAGACTCGGCTTGCTGGGTTCCAAATCTTTTTACTCCTTGCTTCTAAAAACCCTGTATGCTCAGAGCCTTCTCGTCCACACTCTCTGTTTGCCCACATTTTCGAGACTTGAACTAAAAATCAGATCTGCCTGTCTCCTGGAACCTGAGGCCCAGACCCAAGCGAGGCTGGGCTCTGTGCCTCTCACCCCCAACTTTCGAATCTCGGCCCAGGTGGGAGGTGGAATGTCCTACATAAATTCCATACCTGTGTGCGTCCTTTTGTGGATCTTGAGGTTCTCTGAACGCGCGAAAACCTTGCCACAGCCAGGGAACGGGCAGGGGAAAGGCTTTTCGCCCGTGTGCACGCGGATGTGGTTGACCAGTTTGTATTTGGCTTTGAAGGGCTTGCCCTCGCGTGGACACTCCTCCCAGAAGCAGATGTGGTTGCTCTGCTCTGGGCCACCAACGTGCTCCACCGTGACGTGCGTGACCAGCTCATGCATGGTGCTGAAAGTTTTGTTGCACGACTTTTTGGGGTTGGCCAGCTGCTCCGGCTCGATCCATTTACAGATAAGCTCTTGCTTAATGGGTTGGCGCATATAGCGGAAGAAGGCGCCAGCGCCGTGGTGTGCAGCCATGTTCACGTTCATGGGCCCGTAGCCGTGAAGCTGAGGCGCGGCGTAGTGCTCGGATCGCGGGCTGGTCACCTGGCCGTACTGCTCCGGCCGCGGGTACATGTCCCCGGAGAAGCCTAGCCGCATCTGCCCGTTGACCACGTTGGGTGACGCGTGGCCCGCCGCCTGCTCGTGAAGCCCGGAGAAAAGGAGGTGGCCCGCCGCGTCCGTATGACCGTGTGGGCCCCCGAAGCCGCCGGCGGAGGCGGCGAAGAGACTGTGCTGGGCGCTAGCTGCCGCCGCCGCGTCTCCAAAGCCCCGGTTGCGGAACAGAAAGTCCCGTGTAGAATTGAAAGCTGCGCTGGAGTAGGAGCCGACGTGGCCCGGGTGGTGATGGTGGCCCAGGGCCGCAGCAGCGGCGTAGCCGGGCGCCTGCGACGTGAAGGCTGTCTGTCCCGCCGAGGCCAGTTCGTGCGAACTGGGGTTGAGCTTGAAGGCGCCCATGCCGTCGGCGAACGGGTTGATACCCAGGCCCACGTCTCGCTCGGCCACGTCGCCCGCCGAGTGGTGCCGGGATGCGCCAAAGGTGGTCACACCGATCGCGGGATACTGGGGGCCGGCGTCCAGGAGCATCGTGGCTGCACGGGGCAAGCCCCGGCCTCCCCCGCCCCCCCCACCCTCGCCCGCCAAGGAGGGAAGATCAGGAGGAGGAGGAACGGGAGGCGGAGGAAGAGGAAGAAGAAGAGGAGGAGGGAGGGGGAGTCGACCCACCTAACGAAGTCTTAGCCAGCAGGCAGCGGCCAGGCGCAAGCCGGCGCTCGCCCGGCCAAAAGCAGGCTAGCCGGGTGACTGCCGGCCGGTAGAAGGCGGGCTCCGGCGCCAGCCGCTCCAACGGCGCCGGCCGGACTCGCACTTTCTCGCCGCTCAGTCTCTGCCGAGAGGGCCTCGAGTCAAGGCTGCCCGGGGAAAGGCATAGAACATCTCAGCCCCCCAATAAAACTTCTTCCAGGATTTGTGGCATAGAGGAATGTGAGCTCGAGAGCCTCCACCGCTCGCCCTGTCTTCTCGCTCAGCGCGCCCCTCCTCACTTCTCCACTAGTCTCTCTCTCCCTCTCTCTCTCTCTCTCTCTCTCTCTCTCTCTCTCTCTCTCTCTCTCTCTCTCTCTCTCTCTCTCGTCTCAGGCTCTCCTCCTCGCTCCTTCACTCTACCTTTTTCCCCCTCTCTGCCTTTTGAAAAAAAAAGGGGGGGGGGAGAAAAAGCAAAGAAAAGGCGCAAATCATGCACAATATTGTCTTTTGCGGTTTATCTTCCTGGGGAGAAACTTTCACCTCCTCAGCCGGGCGGTGAGCGCGAGACTGATAGCAGCAATCATTCCTGCAGATAAATGAATTGAAAGGACGACACCGTCGTCGTCCCCCCCCCCTTGATGAATGGGAGCAGGGGGAGGCGTCACGTGCGACCGACGCGGGCGAGGATTGGTGTGGCGGCAATCCCCCCACACACCCCTCCCGCGGCCGCCGCGCCAACGAAGGGCGCGCGGTGGCGCCGCGCGCTGCTCATTGGCCCGCCCGCCTCATCAATCCCAGGTATTGTAAAGCGCTTGACATCCCCTTTTGACTAACAGGGCTGCCAGGAGTAGCAACTTTTTTTTCCTGGCAAATGTTCCCCCTTCTCACGGAAAAAACAAAAAAACGAAAAACAAAACAAAACAAAAAAAAAACCAAAAACAAAAAACCCAAAAAACAAAAACCACGATTCCTTTTCCATCTCATAGTCTTTCTCTTATAGTCTCTCTCTCTCTCTCTCTCTCTCTCTCTCTCTCTCTCTCTCTCTCTCTCCCTCCCTTCCTCCCCTCCCCCTTTCCCCCTCCCTCTCTCCCTCAATCCCCCTCTCTGCCTCCTCCTACCCCTCCCTCTCTTGGTTTCCCTCCTCTTCTAAGTGCCCCCTCCGTTCTCTCCCTCTAATTTCTTTCCCCCTCCCTCTGCCTCCCTGTCCCTCCCCCTTTCGCTTCTCACCCCTCTGCCACTCTCCTTCAAACCTCCACTGAGCGATTATAGACTAGAGACCCCCGGCGTCTCGTAGAGCAGCAGTTGGGGACCAGCTGATAAACACCCCAAAGGCACTTCCAGAATGTCCCGATTCAGCAACTTTCTTTTCTCCCTCCCTCCCCTCTCCCCCCCCCCCTTCAAGGGAGGGCAGCAAAGGAGGCTTTTGTTATTTGCTCCTTTTGAAGTTTGCTTCCTTTTTGCCGGGCCTCTCTCCTGTTTATAATTTAAGATTCGGGAGCGGGAGGGCACGCCACTCTCTAGCCTAGAAACGTGATTTCTCGGTGTCTCCCGAAGCCTCAGTTTTCCAGGCTTCCTTCCTGCGTGCCCACTCACCCCCAAACACAGGTGGATGGAGCTCTTAAACTTTTCCCGGTTCCTGAGGTTTGTTGGGTTGGGTTTTGATTGTTTGTTTTTGTTTGTTTGGTTGTTTTTTTTAAATGGAAGTTTGAAAACGCTGTTGCTGATTTCCCCTTCCCCTCATTTTTTCTCTTTTCTCTGGTCCCGTCCGTTGTCTGCTTTGCCCCCACCCCCAACCCGCCCACTCTGCCCTCGAATTCCCATCCCTGGCCCCTTTCATTCAGGTAAAACTGTAAATTTCCCAATGCGCCATTGTTCCCCTGGATCTCCCAAAGCTCCCTAGAGATCCCGGAATACTTTTTTGGTATTTAAATCCACAGTAGATAGGACCAATGTAAATTTTGTGACATTCAAACCTTTTCCAGTTCACAAATCAGTCACCCTTGTCACAGTTATTGAAATTCCGCAACTTGCCACAACAAGACGGTGGAAAAAGCGGGCGCGGTCTTTGTTGCCGACCAGGCTTTTGATCGCCAGAGAAAATTTACTTACCTTCAGATGAGTGAGCAGAAAAAGAAATAACACTCCCTTTGATTTAGTTAGAAAAATGCAGACATTTGGATTCCGTGCAAACATACAACACTCGCTTGTTTTCGCGATGCGGCCCTCGATTAACCTGTCTTTGCCCAGCGCAAAGTCTATTCAACAACTGCGCGTAGTTGCTTTTTGTCCCATCCACAAAGAACCATTGACTATATATTAAAATGATTGTTGAAAGGTAGAGGAGTATGGCACGTAAAAGCAGGGGAAAATCCCTGTAACTCAATCAATTAAACCGAGAGACATTTATACATTTCAAAAAATGCACACGGATGTGGAGCCGGGGGCGATGGAGGTTGCGTTTCTCCTTAGCTCAGTTTTAAGCCCATCAGCTTGGCCCAGGATTTAGCCTTAGCGCCTGCATATTCATTAGGTCTAATTATTTTCTAGTAAGGAAAACACAAAAAGCCAAGAGTCGGAATCCTTCAATTTGCCCTTTGTTTCTAACTTCATTTGGCTTCTTTGCAGTTGAATCAAGGCTCTAAACTCTTTTGCAGACAAAGAGACCTTCAACTCATCCTTTCACGTGATGTCCGGTTAGAAAACTTACCAGTTCGCCAAGCATAAGGGAAATGAAATGGTCCCCCCTCTCCTCTCTCTTCTCCTTCTCTCCTTTCCCAGCTAGCTTCCTAGGGATGCAGGAAGAAAGGTCAACACTGGCTACTTCTAGCCTCCTTTCTGGTTTATTCGATTTTCTTCCCAGATTCTGGTTTGGGCACAGTGAACTGGAATTAGTCTGTCCTTTATAAACACACACACACACACACACACACACACACACACACACACACAGGCTCTGAAGTCAGAAGAGACTGTTTTGAGCATCTCTGCTTGTGGGGCTTGAAAATAGAAATTCTAGAAAAAGAAAAAAAATAAAGAATGTTCTGCTCCCCCCTCCCCCTGCAACAAGTCTGAGTCCAGTGCCCCAGCCCTTCTCACCTTTTCTGAATGGACCCCTGAAATGAGTGACAGGGGGAGCTGGAGCGGAAGGTGGTAGGGCTGCTTGTGGACCTATCATATATTTTGTTTGGGGGAAAAGATATACCAGAACCATTCATTTCTTTTTGTTCCTACAAGGAGAAGTTGGAACCTAGAATTATGAAAATCTTATAGTCAAGGAGCTATTTCCTCTAGAGGCTGCACTGGTCTTTCACTAGGGAGAACAAATATCGAACCCACCTTGATTGCTTTAAAAAAAAAAAAATAGGGAGGGGACCTGAGGGTGACTGTTGGGAGATGGGAGGGAAAATAATTCTTCAAAAAAGAAAGTCAGGCTTCTCTCCTCCAGCCTGTGGAAAATGCACCGAGGACGTTGACAGAGTGTATTTTTAGGAAACCCATCCAAACATACAAGGTAAGAGTAAATGTGAGAGGGGGAAAAAAAAAGTTGTGGGTTGTAGAAGTTATCAAGTGGGATTTGCGGCGCTCTCTGCAGGAAACGCGAGCGGCTCCAGTTCAAAGCCACATGCACCAACGTGACATATAAGCCATTAAAATATCATCCTGACGGCTCATTTCTGCTTCATCATACATTCCCTAACTGCTTCCCCGAAAGCTGGAGAAGGAGAAATGAAGGATGACCGCCTTGGTGGCACCACAACAGAGGCTTAGTGGGATTTGTGGTCCGCCCTCATCCACCCCAAAGTGATGTGCAGAAATGAGGTGATCCGGGCAACAGGTGGAGCAGGGTAAGTGCTTGAAACCAGGGGAGTAAGGCGGGGAAGACTTGTATCCCCAGCGGCCTTTTAGCAAGTGTCCTTATGGGGGCCATAGGTACCCAAACAATGCTGGCCGAATAGGCCCAGTCAGACTTTTCTGCATGTCTACCTACCTACACACACACACACACACACACACACACACACACACAGCCTCCAGGGTACAGGCCCCACCCCATTGATTCTAAAGGGGTGGGGAGGAGCCCTTTTGCCGAGGGGCAATGTTGAGGATGAGTCCTTTCTTTCCTCTCGGGAGGAGTACGGGTGCAAGAAAGACAGATGGGGCTCCTACTGGCAATAGCACCAAAAACAGCTTGCTGTCCGCCCGTCTTCCCTCCTCTTTTTTGTAAATTGCCTGGGTGTGCCCACCGTGGGCACAAGAAGGGCAAAACTAGGTCAGTTTTGCCCTCCCTTCATGATCAAGGCGGGAACCGAGAAGGTGCCGGTGAAGGAGTCCTGGCAGGCAGCCTTTCTGCTTTTCCCTCCCGCAAGGATGACAGAGAGGGTTTCGGTTTACCCTTGCTGGGGTCAAAGAATCAAGTTAGTGCTTCTGGGTGGCTACATCATAGAACTTCTCTGGACACTCACTGAGGAGGCCTCTCGGTCCGCTTCAGACCGGCTGTCTGCCCGCACTCATCCTTGGTCCTGCTCAGGACTCTTAACTCTAGGATGTGTTCTGCAAGCGCCATGAGCCATGGGTTCCGCAACTTGGCCTTTTTTTTTTTTTTTTTTTTTCCCTGGGTGTGAGTCGGGGCTGCAGTTATGTCTGGGGTGCAGGCCCAAAGCCTAAACCCAGGAACACCTAACAAATTACTGGCAAAAGAGAAGGGAATGGATTTGGGTGTAAAAGAGTTAGCTGCCTGGTTCAGAGTCTGAAAGTTTGGAGTTGATGAATGGTCCACAGGGACAGTCTGAGAAGTGGAGAGAGGGCATGAGAGGGTTGCCGTGAGATCTAGGCATTTGCTGTCTATAGAACCTACTTTTGGATGTCAAGGCTTGGCACTGACTTCCACCCTCTGCTTCTGGAGCACCGTGCTTTTCCCTTCCTATTTTTAAAGAAGTCTAGCCCAGGCTAGATTATCTACTGTTGACCTCACTAGTTTAGATTTTACTCTGGGCACCCAAAGGTTGCCAGCCTTCGGCCTAGAGCAAGGGGAATCTGATCCCCACCCTCTCAAGGACAGGAGTAAGAAAAGGGGTAGATACAACCCAGTCCCTCAGCTCCATTTCCTGGGTGCTTCAGGGCTGGTGGAAGTTAGACAGGGCGGTGAGAGTGCCCCTCTGATCGATCCCAGCAAAGGCCAGCAGCGGCTTTCATCTTTGGCTTGGTAGCTCTGAGACTGCCAGGGCTGAGCTTTTCCGGGAGGTATTCACTCATGCCTGATAGTTAATCAGTGTGGAACTGAAGTCACCAGTTCTAGTTGACCTCTGACCTTAGACAGATCTGTGTGGACTAAGTCCACCTCACAACAGGCGCCTCTATGATTCCTCAAATAAAATAGTGTCTTCTGCATTACCAGCCATCCCATCTTGTCACTATCAGTCAGTAGGATTCCCTGGCATCCCTCTCCTCTCAAGGTGCATGATAAAGACTGATGCGAATACTTCCTGGTGGTGTTCCTCACTGAGCTGGAAGCCAGCTCACCAAAAGACACACCAAAAGCAAGAGTTTTGGGGAATTCAAAGAGCTTCTCGGACCTCTTATCCTGGAGACCTCAGATTCAGGGGCCCAGGGACAGTTCCCAAATTCTCTCCTCATTCTGGTCATTCAGCAAGGCTAAGTGGTCTCAAATTTGGACCAAAGGGTGTTTGCTTTATTTCGCTGACCAAGACTGCTGCAGAACTACTTAAGGTCCCTCCTGTATGCCTTGGGCCAACCTTTGAATCCTAACCATTGCATGCCTAACCATTTGTGATGCACAAAGGCATGCACATAAGGCATAAGGGTAGCAGCCACAGACCTCAAAGAAGTTGGGCTGTGCCAATCTTGTGGGTGGACATAAGTTTCTAGGGAAACTTACACCCATTTTCCTCAGAAGCAAACAAGTAAATTCTATTATTGCCAACCAACCAGGAACTGTGGTTGCCAGACATCCCGCCATGAGGACATTCAGAGCAAGGACACCCAGCCTGCAGTTCTTCCGTAAGAAAGCAAAGCTAGGCCTCCTTTCTCTCTTGGTCTGTGCTAGAGGGAGCTTGTTACATTTATGGAAGGAGTTTGTTGTTTTTGTTAGAATTGAAAACAATTTCCTCTGACAAACGGTGAGTATACTCAGGCCCATGCCTGGGGAAGAAAAAGGAAGGATAAAAACCTTAGGGTAGTTTGGGTCTGAGTTAGAAGTTAGGGGAACACAAGAAATTAGAGAGTATGTATGATTCTGCAGCCCCAGTTCGATTTAGCCTGTGGGTCAACAAGTTAAATAGCCTCTTATCCTGTGAGCTAGAGTGTCAAGATAGGCAGACATCCCATTGACTGAGGTCTTGCTGTGTTTGCCCAGCCTGAGACCTTTTTCAATGACTGTTTGTCCTTCCTCACCAAACTTAGGGTCAATGCTAGGAGGATTGCCTGTTTGGCAGCCCCACTTCCTTGAGCCTTGCCTGGTGAATTCAGAGGTCCCCAGAATGCTTTCAAGAGTTTATGTTGCCAAATGCCTGGGAGCTCTAGCCACTGACAAGCAATCTTGAGAGGGAAGCATTATTTCTAAACTTTTCAACTTCAAAAAAGGGACAAACTTGGCACCAAGTGACAACAAAAAAGATGCATTTTTTAATCTGGTGGATTTAATATTAGCTTTGAAAAATGAGTCCGTGACAGCTCTCAAGTGGGCCTGGAGGGGGATGGATCATGTGAGGCTAAAGAATTTTCACTACTACAGACAGAACAGAATTTAAAAATCTTTAAATTTCTTCATCTCAACAATATAACTAAGCATAATTGCACACCCTTAGAGAATAGAGGGCCCTCCCTGGCACACCTCACCAGATGTAAATTACTAACTTGAAGAAATAATGGAGTTTTCTGAAACATGATTTTAAATTCTAGAACTCACAGATTTTTGGACATTGAATGAATGCTTCTACCTATAAAGCAGAACAATGAATGATAAAATTTCTCACTGTGAAATAAGGATTTTCAATGTTTTTGTTAGCAACCCATGTTATTTTATAGTCTCTAGATATTTTTTCTTGTGTTTCCAAATTTGAAAATGATCAAAAAAAAAAAAAAAAGGCTAAAAAACTGTTTTCAGACTAACACCCTTTTTTCATATTTTCAGGTCATAGATTCTTGGTATAGAAACATTTATGGTATTGTTTTACTCAGCCCTTTTCTTCTCAAGCAGGCCCAGTCTCAGAAAATGAAATACAAGACTTCCTTGGTGATGAGGAAACGATTACGACTTTACAGAAACACCCTGAAAGAATCGAGTGAGTAAAAAGAAATCTTATTATAAATAGAGATTTGGTGAAGCTTGGGCACTTTTTTTTTTTTTTTAACTATTTTGTGTTTTGTACATAAATCCAATTTGTTTGTTTCTCCTTTGTTACACTGAGATGTGAGTTTGGGCACATCTCTAGAGTTCAAATGAAACTTAGAATAACACCTTGGCATTTGATGCATTTGCACACAAATCAATGACACAACATCCCACCAGCAGCCTGAGGATTAGCCCTCAATGCCTACTCATCTGGACGTTCTAGAATTAATATTTGAGTACTCGATCATTGAAACAACCACCCTTGACCTTCTGCAATTCCACTGTCACATTATTCTATGACATATTCATCTTGAATTCATTTCCAGACAATTTGATTGGGATGAGGTTTGACATGTATTGGCTTCCATGAAAGAAGCAGACTTTGATCTTGGTGATGGGGTTTACATGCTATGCATCATCTTTACCAGGGGCACCAGCCTTCTGCAATGTGGCAGTGACTATGTTCCCACAATGTGGTGTCTGAACCAAGAGTGACTGACAGCCACTCTGTCAGAAATACCTTCATTGTGAAGAATTTAATTTCATATTCCATTTAGAATAAGCATAGGATTTAAGGTTGGCTTTTACCCCCTTCCAGGCATCTAATTTTCTCATTTCAACTATACAAGTACATGTTTTCTCCAAAGATGGTCTCTTATTGGTATGCAATGAAAGCTTCTGAACAAAAGTTTGAATAAGTTAGGAAATGACTCTCTTCTGCTATTTGGAATGGTTTTATGAGAGAGTCAAAGGAGAGATATAATTATTATATAAACTCAGTTATTTTGATTCCTTAATGCTATCTTGGAAGTTCTTTTAGCAATTTCTCCCAATCTTTTTTTTTTCTCCCAATCTTTTGTTAAAAGACACTTTGCAGAAGCATTGCTTGGAAATTAAATTACATCTAAATATATTTTTCCATACTCTCAGTTCCATTAATGATGATTAAAGCCCAAATTTTAATAATTAGGAAAAATTTCTTCTTAAAAAGAAAACTGACAGACCTCATCTCCTTTGCATAATTTGGGACTGGACATATGGCAGGCTTCTGGGGCTTAAATGATTTCTTTTCATAAGACTTGAGATACCTCCCACTGCAGGAATCCCAAAGTCAGTGGATAGCGCCTTCAGAGGTACACAGAGATACACACCAAATTTTGAGTGACACCATGGTTAGAAAAAGAAAGAAAGAAAGAAAGAAAGAAAGAAAGAAAGAAAGGAAGGAAGGAAGAACTGAAGAAGTGGCTGCAGATCCAGCAGCAGAAAATTCAGATGACAGAAGCTGCTTGGCCTGGCTCTGAGTCGTGGACCCTCAACTTAATCATAATATATCATTGTTTCAAATATCAAGATGGAAAAATAACTCAACTATTGATGCCTAATCTCCATCCTTCCACCTTCCCAAGAAGAGAGGTCAGACATTTCAGCTAGTGATGTTAGGAGCCCTCAACAGATGGACCAGCTGCCCTATTTCTAGAAAGTAAACTAGAAATCATTTGTTTATGCCATTGATGTGTGGCTTTTGTGATCAAAAATGATCGAGTTATGATTCTGGGCATTAATGTTCTGAGTCTGGTGGATGAAAGATGTCCATGGGCATCTGGTAGAATATGTTCCACATAAACCCTCATGAAACCTTTAGTGTTTTGTGTGGGGGGCAGCATTTACCAAACCCACCTCCTTTTCTTTGCAAACCAGGCAGGAATCTCCTGAAAGAAAACCAAGCCCCAGTGAAGATAAGCACTTCTAACCAATTGACAGTTTCCGAAACTGGGGATTTCTGTCCCAAGACACCAAAAAGATTTATGGGAAGACTAAGATTCACCTCTTGAACACTGGTATTCCATGACTTGTCATTTCTGATCAGCTTGAGGCTGTTCTGGAGTTTAATTTAGAAATACACTTTGAAGGTCCTTACATAACTGCTCAGAGTTCTATGTCAGTAAGCATAAATGAATACAAGAAATATTTTTCTCTCTATCTCTGTCTCTGGGGAAATGGACCTTAAAAGAATGTCTGGTCCCATTGTTATGTTTAGCCAACCGAGGTATGGACCATATGGCTCCAAGAACTTTGCAAGGATCAGGCAGCCTCTGTGACCTGCAGGTCACCTGACCCCTGGCTACTCGAGAAACATCTACCCAGGATGGGTCCAGATGTTTTTAGTGCTTGAAGAGAAAGCTGCATCTGGAAAGGAGCTCCATGGGGCCAGGCTACTGTCAGTGATTTTGGCTGAATCAGATGTGTTTGCCCTTTTGCTTCTGGCACAAAGAGTCATATACATGTTCATACCTTTTCAAGGGCAAAGTTAGTCAGACAGACTGTATACTAACAAGATGTGTATATAAAACCCCTGGGTTTCCTTAGCCTTCAGATACACAGGTCAGTATTTACAATTCGGGAGGTCTGTAAACTTGGATTTTTTTTTTTAATCTTTCTCTCTACAACCTGCTAATGGAAAGTTAACATTTTCTTCTCCTGTGAAAATGAGAAGCAAACACATGACTGTTAGGAGTTCAGCATGCTCACCAGGCTTCCAAATGGTGCTGAAAATGCTTTTTAAAAAGCCCTGTTCAGTCTGTATTGTTATTCAAAGCTTCTAATGGGGATTGGGTCACAGTATGCATATTAAGAATCCTTGTTGGTTCAAATAAAATAATTAACAAAATCTAAAATGGATTGTGAATTTGACACATCCTGAACAATTAATTGTATATCACCTAGGTTTAGGAGAGAGAAGGGGGGGATATACTCCCTGGCCTATGGTACCAGTGCCCTTGCTCTCTGAGTTACTATCTCAGTTCTAAGGGTTGATTGATAGAGATAGCTAGGCAAGAAGGAACACAGTTGTGCTTTCAGTGTGTGTATTGTGCTTTAAGACCTTTTGGGGTTCAGCATAGACTCACCTGTATACGTTCTTCATTTTGCTCAGAGGTCAGACATGAAATTCCCTGAAACTTGGTGACAAGTGTCCAAAGATGAAGGGAAGGGAGAACAAACCAAGGGATGGATAGAAGCATCTCTCATTAAAGGGCTAACTAAATGAAGCAATGGGTGGGAGGAGAAGCCAGGAAAGAAGATGAATTCTGAGTCAAGTTTTAAAATGGCCATGAAAGGCTTTGGTTAAGGGAACAGAAGTCAAATGTCTCTTCTTCTCGTGTGTGTGTGTGTGTGTGTGTGTGTGTGTGTGTGTGTGTGTGTGTGTGCATGTGAGTATGTTCACAGAATATTTGTAATTGCCTAAGACCTTACTAATGCAGAGCAGAAAGATACAGGCTATTCAAAGCTAGAGAAATTATTGCAGGAGTTAATCCCTTGCTAAATCCCTTGCCCCAAGCAGGGATGAATGAAGAATGTACCAAGCTTTAGAAAATAAGTCAATTATTAAAATTTTTAAAGCCTTACTTAGGGAGTAGGAATGTAACTCAGTTGGCAGAGGACTTGTTTAGTATGCGTGGAATCCTAGGTTCCTTTACTGGCACCACATTAGCTCATTTGTGGTGCTAGATGTCTATGAACCCAGCTCCTGGAGAGTGGTGGTAGAAGGAGAAGTCAAAAACCATTCAAGTTCTAGACCATCCTGGGCTCCTTGAGATCTTGCTTCGAAAACAAAATAAAACAAACAAAATAAAAGCAAACAGAGCAAAATCCTTTATTTGCTAGTCATGGGATGTAATTCCCTTAGGGAGGGGGCAGTCCCATCAGTTCTAAATTAGTGTTCCAAAAGTTGTTCAAACTTTTCCCTTCACTGAAAGGTTTTTTGTTTGTTTGTTTGTTTTTCAGTATCTAGAATTGTCTTTAAAAAAAAAAAAACCTAGACTTTCTGTGTCTTGGGGATGTCCCTCAGGAAGATCCATTGGCATTTTGGATCATGAGGAACCTAGGGTGAGAAAGTAGCAGATCATAGGGCAGACAAGGGGTAGTCATTCCTGAGCTAGAACTGAATTGTTCTGCCACCTTTGGTGGCAATTCTAGACTGAAGGCCATGGATGCAGTCAATTATGGGGTCCCATCTGTAGAGTCCAAAAGATAGCAAGGACTAAGGTGCTTTGGCAACAAGTGACCACAGACCATGGAAGTAATCCTAGTTTCTATTATTAGTATCTTCATCTGGCACCACTGTAGAGTTCAGTACCCCTTATTAGTACCCTGACCCATAGCCTCCATAGGAAGGACCTGCCCCTCCTATGTGTGTGCCTGTAGCCTTCCCCCTCTCCCTTTCTTCTTTCTTTCTTTCTTTCTTTCTTTCTTTCTTTCTTTCTTTCCTTCTTTGTCAGAATAACCTCAGGTAGATAAATATGAGCTATGATGAAAAAAGCCCTTTCAGGGGAGCCTGAATTGAGTTTGAAACAAGACTTTCCTTCCCCCCCCCCCCCCCCCCGCCATGATATCCTCTGGTCATGAAGAAATCAATCTCTCTAGTAAGGCTGGGATTCTCGGGTTTCTGCTTCCAAGAGCCAAGAGCGCTGTCCCCAAGGGAAGAGAATGAGAGCGAGATAGAGATAGACAGACAGACAGACAGACAGACAGACAGAGTTAGTTGGGATGGGAGTAGAGAAGAAGAGGGGATGGATGAATAAAGAAGTAAAACAGAAAGACAAAGTGTGGTGCGGGTGTGGGTTAGGTGTAGGGGAAATGAGAAGGAAGAAAAGGAGGAGAAAGACAAGGGAATAAAGTGGGTCCCAGGTTCGCTACTCTAGGAGTTTCTCTGCTCCAGGCAGTTTGCAGCCTTCTTTCTTGCCTTAATCGGGACCCTGTCCTTTGCACTTAAAGACAATCTTTCCAAGCTCTTTGAGTGATCTGGATACTAAAATGCCTAGGTCCATGCTCAACTCCCTTTCCAGGAGTCCTCATGGGTAGAAGCAAATCCCAACCCTGCTCAATGTCAGGAGACTGATAGCAAAGCTCGGCTTCATAGAAGGAATGTGTGTGTGTGGGGGGGGGGGTAGATGTAGAGGAAAGAGGAAAGAATTCTTGCCTGGATCAGAGCGCATGAGCAATAGAAGCATTAAATGCTATTGGGGTTGGGGCAGGGAGCGAAAGGAGGAAGGGACAGGAGAGAAGAGAGAGAAAGAGAGGGGGAGAGGGAGAGGAGAGAGAGAGAGAGAGAGAGAGAGAGAGAGAGAGAGAGAGAGAGAGAGAGAAGAGAAGAGAAGAGAAGAGAAGAGAAGAGAAGAGAAGAGAAGAGAAGAGAAGAGAAGAGAAGAGAAGAGAAGAGAAGAGAAGAGAAGAGAAGAGGAGTCCAGCTTGTCATCACTGACGTCGGGCCAGGCCACTGGCCAATGGGCAACATAGGCGATTGTTCTCACGGTAGCCCTGGCCGAGGCCTGAGGCCTGAATCTATTCATTTCCTTAAGCACCCTGCTGCCTCCTCTGTAGTGCCCCGGGTTTCACACAGACTTTAAAGAAACAGAAATGTGTGTGTGTGTGTGTGTGTGTGTGTGTGTGTGTGTGTGTGTGTGTGTGAGAGAGAGAGAGAGAGAGAGAGAGAGAGCTAGAGAGAGAGAGAGAGAGGGTGCAAACCCAAAACTTAAAGAACAAAACAAAACAAACCCAAAATCCCCACCCCTTTGCATAAGATTTTTTTGTTTTTTGTTTTTTCTGGTTGTCCTTTCTCTGCACTGCTAGATTGTAGTAGTACTGGCGGCTGCCAGGCCGAGGTTCAGCAGGAGGTCCTTTCCAGGCCCAGTGGGACTCTGAAATTAATATATACGTCTAGGATGCTGCAAAATCACTACCACTTCTAACTTCACTACCTCCGAAATGACCCCTCCTAACACCTCCATCTTTGGCCAGGGAGCACCCCTTGGTGTTGGTGGACAAAGTAATCTTGAGATACGGGTCTTACACCTCTGCAGCAGAGGCCATGCCCCCGGGCACCCACAGACTCAGTGTTGTTGCCTCTCCCACCTACCCCATTATCACTACCCCTCTCCAGCTCATGGCGCGGCAGGGGACTCGGCAGAACTGCAGCCTAGCTGGACCAAGGCGGAAGCTTTTTGGCTTTGCTTGGTCCGCCACAGGTTCGTTGCTGGCACTGACTTGATCAAGATCCCAGCACCAACACCAGAAACCTAGATGCATCTGGGCAGGACTTGTCCCCGGGGTCCGGGGAAAGTGAGAAGCCCACTCCATCGTTTCTCATACACGCTTTTTGTCTCGACAACAGGTAGCAGCTGTGGACACCATGGGCCCCAGTTCGCCGCCGCTTCGAACCCCTCGCTATTTCCGGGCCTTCATGAGCAACCTCCTCAGGCCTCCCACAGTCGTCCTTTGAACGGACTCCTGCGTCTGGGGCTCCCCGGAGACATGTTTGCGAGGTCGGAACCCTTTGCACCAGGGCCTACGGACCGCAGCGACACTTTGGCAACAGCTACAGCCCTGCACAGCTATGGAGGCATGAACCTGACCGTGAACCTCGCCGCATCCCATAGCCCTGGAGCTTTTTTCCGCTATATGCGCCAGCCCATCAAACAGGAGCTCATCTGCAAGTGGCTAGGCGATGATGGCCCAGTATCCCCGCGCCCCTGCTCCAAAACTTTCAGCACCATGCACGAGCTGGTCACACACGTCACTGTGGAGCACGTCGGTGGCCCAGAGCAGGCTAACCACATTTGCTTCTGGGAGGAGTGTCCGCGACAGGGCAAGCCCTTCAAAGCCAAATACAAACTTGTAAATCACATCCGCGTGCATACGGGCGAGAAGCCCTTCCCTTGTCCTTTCCCAGGGTGTGGGAAAGTCTTTGCTAGATCAGAAAATCTCAAAATACACAAACGAACACATACAGGTCAGTACTCAGTGCTGTCTGTCTCGTGCGACCCCATGGGACACAGGCCCTTTGGGTCTGAATTTCCTTTAGTCCCAGCTGAGGGGAGGAGGGAGGCAATTTTTGGTATTGTTTCCACGGGCCAGATTTATAAAAATGGTAATTAACAGTTTCTGCCTGTAGACTCACCCTTTTCCGGAGGCTGTGTGGGGGAAAGTGGTTCCAGAATTCCGTAATCCCTGTTGGTAAATGGGCGCTCCTAGCTTAGAGATTTGATTTGATTTAGGTTCTGAAGAGTAGATGCTGCATACTAAGCTATATCCCCAGTCCCTAGAGCTTGGTTTTAAGGCTTTTTTTTTTTCAGTACTGCCTCCCCCAAAACCTTAGTGGAAATGAGAACTATTGTCTCACATTTACAGACCACTTTGAAAAACTCTCCCCCCCTTTAGCTCCACCATCACCTGGACTGGGTCACCTAACCCTTAATACCTCCTTTAGGATTTATAAAACTTGGGGGCCTACTTTTGAGCAGCTTTTGTATTGCTGGCTCCAAAGAAGGGTACCCCTCATTCTTATTTTAGTAGAGACCCAACGGGACCCACTTGCCTTAAATGTCATTTTACCGAGCTGTTAAGTGAAATAGGGACATGTGTCAACCACATCTGTTAGCTCTAGTTTACAGAAAGAAAAGGAGCTCAGTGAAGGAGGCTGGGAGTTGAACTCTTCTGGCCAGAAGCATCTAATTAATACAATTGCAAGAAGAAAGTTTTCACACTTTCAGAACAGCCCGTGAAGTTACATTAATTAGTTTAGCAGCCACCCTTTGACTCTCCTTACTCCTCCTCTTCCCCCCTCCCTTGAAGTTTAAGAAGTCAGCGTCTTCTCCCCTCCCCCATCTTGGAGGCGGGAAAAGGGAAGAATGATGCAGAGAGACCGGAAGAATTCCAGCTTGGTACTGCAGTTCTCTGGGCAGTATCTTTCTTTTCTACAATTCTTTTTAGAACAACAACCTTTTTAAGAGTCAAAGTCCTCGATGGTTGCAGTGTCAGGGAAGAAGCTTGCTGAGTCTTATTACAAACTGCCTTCTCCATGAGGTTTACCGGTAGAACACTACCATAGGCTGAGGCAAAACCAAAGTCCACTTTGAATCGCCAGTTCTTTATCCTCCTATTATGTCTGCAAACACTTTGTGCGGTTTTCTAGAGCACATTCTGAACTTCTCTCTCATTCATCTGCTCCTCTTACACCCCCCCACCACCAGTTATATTCCCAGGGACAGAGGGATGAGCAAGACCGTAATTCCAACCCCGAGACTTGCTGCTCCAGGGGCTGGTTGCCAGCACCTGGAAGGTGGATGCACAATCTGGGGCTGGAGAAAGAACTCGTCTTTAATGACAGGGATTTTGAAGCAAACAAACTTATACTGCTCTTTGCTGGCCCACTGTTGGAAGTCTGTGAAGCAGAAAATAGTTAAATTCTTAGCGCAATCGACCTACATCAGAGAAGCACAAGTGTGCCTGGCTGGCCCTCAGGTTTTCGTGGACTCAAGGCAGAATTCTGTGCGTTCTTTTCGGTCTCAGTCCTGAATCATTACAGCTTGGGTTTTTGTTTTTGTTTTCTTTTTTTAAAAAACAAAACAAAATCCCCACAGATGCACCCCTGTTCCCATTCCCAAGCAATGGGAAGAAAAGGAGGAGGCAAAGCAGCAACAAAATGTTTCTCAAATGGCAATAGAACTCTCTACAAATTATTCATGAAGACAGTTTTCGATTCAACAGGAAAATAATTGCCTTTTCAAATATTAATGGCGTTTCATTTCCATCGAGTCGCGGAAGCGGCGATCAGGAGCAGATTTCTTAGCTCAGCCTGTCCCGAATGTGACTCCCAGGCCTGGCTCTGGAGGCGGCGGGTGAAGCAAGGATTCGCTCTGTAGCGGTGACAGAGACCCGGGAACAATGGTGCGGCGGCGAGGGAGGCGCGGCCAGGAGCGCGCACTGTGCCAACCTCTCACACTGGCGCGCCCGCCTCCCGGAGCCCCTGCCCCGGGCTCTCCCCACCTTTCCCCGCAGTCAGTCAGCCCTCGCGGGGGGACAGAGGCCGGTGCCCCGGCCGCTCTGGGGCGGAGTCATCCCGAAAACAGAGCCAGCCACAAGTGCGAGAAAAAGGCGCTGGCCCGGCGTCCTGTAGGCCGGCGAACTTTACGCCCGCGCGGAAGGAGGCCTTGGGCGCTCTGGAGGCCGGGCCGAGGACGGGGGGCCCGGGCCAGGGCCCCAAACCGAGCCCGCAGGTTCGCGGCCTAGGCGGCCGGCGCAGCCAGGACTCGGGTCGTCCCGCGGCAGGCAGGCCCAGCCCGGCGCTGCGGGGTCCACCCTCCCACCCAGGGCGCTGCGCAGGGACTTGGGGGAGGGGAAGGGCGCGGGGCGGCGGGGGTGGGAGGGCTGTCAAGCGCAGAGACCAGGGCGCCTCCTGCAGCTGGGGAACGCAAGGGCCCGGCTGCACCTGGCCTCCCAGGGGCCTGCTCGCTCCCCTGTTCCGAGGCGTTTTCAGTACCTGCGTTTTTTCTTCTGTTTCTCGTCTGGAGCGAAATACTTTCTTCTTTTACGTGGCCAGACGCTGGTGTGTAGTTGAATATCTATATCTATATCTGTATCTATATCTATATTTTTTCTTCTTTTTCTCCCCCCCCCACCTCGGAGAGGGAATTCTAGCCTCAAATTCGAACCTCAAATCCTACCCCAGCCCACACACACCCGAAAAGCCTTAGTCTCTTTTGTAGGCTTCAAATATATACCTATAAAGTTACTTTATGAAGAAGAATGGGGAGGAAAGGAGGAAAGTTTGGGGTTTGCAAATGCTGGTGAAATCAGGCGAGAGAAATCCGGGGACAAATGAGGACAGTGATTTGTTCATTAGACATCTCCTCCACTTTTTTCCGTAAGACTGTGCAGCAGGCAGTATCTTCCAGAGGACCCTAGTGTGCGCCAGGAAGGGTGAGCTCTATCGGTGGGCAGTGAGGGAGACACGGGTTCACCCGCTGTTGCCCGTGCCAAAGGCAGGATTCCTGTAAACCTGTCTCAACCTGAGCGTCAACGCTCAGGCAGAATGGGGTCTTTGTTGGTTTTATCAGGAAGTCTTTCCTATAAACTGCGGGAGAAGAGACCACAAAGCCAACAGAGGAGCGTCTTGCCCCCAGAGTCCGTTGCTAGAGGGGTTCTTGCACCCTGATCACCCCCAGGATCTTCAGCCGCTGGGAGCACAAACAGCCCTCCCCCATCTTTTCTTTCCGAAACAATATCAGCTGAGGCAGACTTGAAATACAGGGTTTTTTGGCCGTGACCGGGGAGGTAGGGTGGGGTGTCCTTTCCTCTTCCACAGATCAGCAAATGCAGGCAGCAAGAACTCCTGGAATGAGGTTTGGCCCAACCAATATTCCCCGCAGCTTTGTTCATTTTCTTGCCTTCCTGCAGTTTTCTACCTAGACCAGCCGCATACCCAGTGGTCAGAGGAACCGGACCTGGTTTGCCGGTAGCAGGCATTCACCCACCCGAAGCTTGCCACACTCAAGGGCCACGATTTCGACAGAGACTTAAGACCTCCTTTGACCTGAGCCTACTTTCTCATACAGGCCTCTGAGCATTCGGGTCTGCGAGGTGGAACAGGCAGACGGACGGGAATTGTCTGGGGAGGACCGTAGACCTGTAATTGTCAGTTTGGACTGAGAGGGGCCTGCTACACTCGACAAGGTCCCCGCAATACTAATAGATCCGTATAATAAAATATTACAATCGGCAAACATCTTGAGGAATTTCGTATAGTTTAGGCAAGATTCGACGAATGTTGCAGCTTGTTTGTCTTCAGTGGGTGCAGTGGGCAGGGAAGGGAGGGGGCTCTATTTCCTGGAAAACAGCCTTCGGGGTGAATCGTTGCTCACAACGTTTCCCACACTATGCACACGCATGTGCATCCACCGCTCTCAAATCTTTTCATTGCCCTGGCAATTGCACAAATCGTACATTAGAAAACACTTTGGACCAGGACAGAGTATGTGTCCAGCGGATTTGCAGGGCAAGGCTGTCTAGGGCAGAGACAGATGGCCTGGGCTGTAACTTCAAATCCAGCAAATGTGAACTCCTCAATCAACTCGATTCTTTGGGCAAGGGTGCTTCTGTCTCCACACAGATAAAAGTTGGAGGAAAACAACGTGCGTAGATCAAGGTTCTCTAGAATGGAAATGACTATGATGGAGTCATTGTCGCTCCTCCTCTGATGCCCCCCCATACCCACCCCTAGGCACAGGAATGAAGAGGGGGAGGGGTGGCAGTCTGTGGGAGTGGGCTCCATCGCCTCATTGGGTGGGGGAGGGGTGTCAGACCTAAAGAACAGAGGAAAGTAATTTCTGAAAAATCTTTTGTGGGTCTTTTGCTGAAAACAAAAGAGGGGTACAATCCGGAGACTGACGCAGCCCACACCCTTCTAATGTCTCTGCGTTACCTCCTCCAGGAGAGAAGCCCTTCAGATGTGAGTTCGAGGGCTGTGAGCGGCGTTTCGCCAACAGCAGCGACCGGAAGAAGCATTCGCACGTACACACAAGCGACAAGCCTTACATGTGCAAGGTGCGCGGCTGTGACAAGTGCTACACGCACCCCAGCTCTCTGCGAAAGCACATGAAAGTTCATGGTCGCTCGCCGCCACCCAGCTCTGGCTACGACTCTGCAATACCGTCTGCCCTCACCTCTCCCTCGTTAGAAAGCAGCCGCGAGCCCCCGGTAGCCTGCACAACAGCGGTGGCAGTGCGTGGCACAGACATGAGCGAATGGTACGTGTGTTCGGGCTCCTGGCTCAGTGGAGGCTGACTCTGCAGCGCCCCCACCCCAGCCTAATGCCACCTCTGGGCCCTGCCACAGCTACCACCGCCTCCAGTATCAGGGCTGCTTCCCAGCGTGCAGCTCTGGCTCACGTCGACTCGGAGTCTAGGCCTGGCCACTGAGGCTTCAAGGAGTAGGCAAGGAACGAAGGGAGGGAGGGAGGGTAGAAAGGCAGGCAGGCAGATAGGCCACCACTAAATGTTATTGGAGGTCATTGAGTATGCTGATACTAGGTCTGTATCAAAAGCATATAAATGTGGTCATTCTACAGTTACATCCTGCACTCTCCTTTGCCAATGAAACCCATGTTCAGGATAAAGAGACAGATAACAACAACCGCAAAACTTTTTAGAATTTATTCACACTGTGGCTGGCAAAAGTAAAGCTATAAATTTTCTCAGTGGGTGTGGAAGGGTGGAAAATATTTTCCTTGAGCCCTGAACCACTGCCTCCCCAGCACCCAGTTACAGACTCTTTCCTTCTCTCCCCTTGCCCATCAATCCCAACCAGAGTAGTTCAGAGCCCAGGAGGTGGCAGACAGAATTCCATAACCATTTTCTTGCAGCCCATTTATCTTTTCCTTTGCCTCAATAGCCTCTCCAGTTCCTCAGCTAATGTCAAACAACAACAACAACAACAACAACAAAATAAGCAAATAGCATCAACAAAGAAACACAAAAGTCCCGAATTTTCAGGCCACTTCTATAAGGGAGATGAATAAGGGGATGCTCTCCCCTTCTCTTGGGATGTCACATACCTCTAATCCCAATGCCTATCAGAGCACATAGATAAGTCTGTTCTGTCAGACCTCAAAGTCGATTTACATTTTATACTTGCAGTGGGGAGTGAGTCCAAAACAATAGAACGCAGGGACAAAGGAACACTGGAAGGCTTTCAAGAACTCTGTTGTGAAGCATCCAGGCTTCCCTTTCCCACCCCCCATCTGTTTAGACACAGCTATAGAACATCATAGGTGCTCTACTTGGGATACCAAGCTGGAGGATGTCATCTCTGAGTCAAGGTCTCCACAGCCAGGGATGTATGTATCTTAAAGAACAGCCTCAATTCTCTAATAGCATTTGTGAGAAATTTATTTTAAAAGTTTGTGGGCATGTGAGAAATAAAGTACAGCAACATTATTCTACAGCAAGCACCCAGTGGGTCTGAAGAGTTGAAAGTATTTGATGTGCTGGTTATGAAGTCCTGGGGGGATCAGATATTGGTAAAGATAAAGAGTAAGGTCTCTGCAGTTGTCAAGGGGGAGAAACACAGGGGTTTGCTTCTAGTCTGCCATCCTCTGTAGGGGAGGAGGTGCTGCCTCAAAATCCGAGCTGAGATGTAAATAAAGAAAAAAAAAAAAAAAAAACGCCAAGGAAAGAGAATGGTGGCAGAGCGAGAGGGGCAGTACAGGCAGACTTGTCTAGGTCTCTACACATCTGGGGGGAAAAATATGTGGGAGAGGGGAAGTCTTTCTGCCCAGAGTGAAGGCCCAGGAACACAATTTTACAACCTGAGACCTGAGGTGGGGGTTGTAGCTCTGTGGTAGAGACTTGTCCACTTCCCTTGAAGCTTGAAGCTCTTGGATTATCCCCAGTGACACCAAAGATAGGCACACTGGATACAAAAAAAAAAAATAACAACAACAAAAAAAAACAACAATTCTTAACACCAGAATCCGGCTGCACTGTCTTACTGTCTTTTATCCGTTCCTTCTCAGAATCCAGTAGAAAATTCTCACTCTGGTCCCACAGATCCCACAACTTCTATCCAATAAAGCAACCACGTTGACTGGAATGGGATGGATACTCCAATGAAACCCAAAATCATAAAAATCCATCTCTAGCAAACCTGTTGTTGACTTACAACCTAGCCCAGACACAGCCTGGGACAGTTGGGAGCAAAGAACTTGTTCCTGAGGGCAAGCACTAACCCTGCTGCCAAGGTACACAGAACATTTGTGGGACTTGATGCCTCTACTAATATTTTCAAGCTGCCCCTCCTCAAACACGACTCCTGTCTCTCTCTTCTGTTTCAAAATACTTCGTTTTGCCTTCTATCCCAGTCCAGAATAACGAAATGAAATAAAAATATTTGGCTGATCACTAATCGCCTTTAATTTTTCATTTGCTTGTTACAGATGTTGCTTGCAAGGTAATCTTGCCCTGCGCAGCTGAGCGCCCGCATCTTGCGCCTGTGACATCAAAGGGCTCTCTCTCACAAAGCAGTGTTTCTTCGCCACGGTGCATCTTCATGGTAAGTTAGGATTTCTATGGCAATGGGCAAGTCTCACTGAAATCCTGAAAGGCCGAGCCTGGAGCCCGTCCAGGCTTTTCATTAAGGACATAATATTTACGTCTAACAGGCCTTTTTTCTTGTGTATACAAGTATATATTTTTGTTTGACGCGGACTAAATCATTTTCATTTAATTTCCGGTAAACAAAACCCACGCGAATGGGCACTTGTTCCCGATCATAATAAAAATGGATAATAATGCGAGGGAAGAAAAGGGCCGCTTGAATCGCCGCTCAGCCCTCTTTGTTTCTGCTTTCTGCGGTGATCAGAGGGCGTATTTGGGTTTGATGGCGAGTTTCTAAAGGCGAGGAAATGGTTTGTAAGGGGGAAAAGAAAAGGAGAAAGGTCCAATCAAGCTCGGGTTGTTCAAAGAGTCGGGTTTTGGGGTTGAAAGTGTGAGTTTGACGGTGCATCAGCACGCCGCGTTAGGCTCGCCATGGAAATGCGCGCGGGGAGCGGCCGCTTCAAAGGCGGCACACTTCACTGCGGACACTCTATTAAGATACATTTGCGCTGACCTTTGCTTTCATGCCATTTAATACTGTCACTGTGCTCTCCAGTATACACTTCCTCCCAGGACCTGTCTTGCCAGTGTTTAGGGGTTCACCCTGCACCCTGATGTAGGGGGCTTTGCTACTCGGGATTCTTTCAAGAAAGGGAGGAGGAGCCAGACTCTGAGCATCTTGACCGCGCCCATAGTCCCCCCAGAGTCAGAGGAAATGTCTAGGGCATCCTGAGAAGCTTACCAAAGGAGCACCCCAGCTCAGTTGTCACCAACACAGAGCGGAATGAGGGCTCAAGACAAAGGTGACCAACCTGGGGAAGTATAGGAACTGTTAACTGCACTTCAGGGACAGTTAGTTCCACTGTGCTCCCCAGAGGCGGTCCACTGCTTCCTTACCGGAGAAGTCTTGCAGTCCCTTAAACTTTTCCTCTGGTGTGCCACTGTGTGGAACCCTTAGGTTTAGGCTGGCTTTGGGCACAAACTGAAAAGCCCAAGGCCAAGTGGATGGGGAAGATGGCAGGAAAGTTAGAAGTCCATGTTCCCTTAATTGTCTTGTTGTTTATTTTATCCAAGTACCCTAGTGAATAGGGGAAAAATAAACACAGTGGAAAAAAAAAATCAAACAGTGGAGTCTTCTTTAGTGCCCGTCCTTGTGGTTGAATAAAAAGGATGGTCTGCCTTCTATTGAGCTGAGAAATCTTTGAAGTGGGAGTTATTATCTGAGACATTCCTGCTTGTCGTCCTAACAACGCTGATGAAATGTAAAAGGTTCTTTGTCAGCGATTTGTTCTCCTCTCTGTCAAACTCACTTTGCCCCATTGGTTTCAAACCATTACTAAAGAGATAAAATCAAATTTCTTAAAAGAAAAAAATCCCTATACTCCACTAGTAGATAACTTTAGGGATACATTTTTCCTGAGAGAGAGAGAGAGAGAGAGAGAGAGAGAGAGAGAGAGAGAGAGAGAGAGAAGCAAAAACTACAACTAACAAAAGTCCTGTTGAGTTTCAGTCCTGGTGATATGTGTAGATGTTGGAAGGCCATTTGCACCAAAACTGGTACATTAGGTAATGCAGGAATGGTAGAGGCAAAGGGTAAGTGTCCCAAGTCTGTGCTTCTGAGTTTGTGTTTTCTGCCATGGCCTGCATCCTATCAGCCCAGGTTTACTAGCAGGATGGATTCTCTTGGCAATCACTCAGACTCCAAAAATTCTACTTAGGATTCTTGGAACTTTAGTCTACAAACAAGTGATGTTTTCCCCTTTTCAAAGAAACTTCTGCTATAAATAGATCTGTGGTCATATTTCCTTATCACCAAGAGCAATCAGCACATACTTTCTGTCATTAATCTAAAGGATGGTAGTGTAAGCGAGAGAAATGTTACACATTTTCATTATTATTACTATCACCATCATCATCATCTTGGAGTTAAGAAGGTTTGGTTTGCAAGATAGTGACCAAAAAGTGCATGCATATGCCAACCCTTTCCCCTATGTGCAGTTCTTAATTTTACATTGTGCCTAGAAAAGAAACTTTGCCCCTGTTCAGGTCTTCTCAACTTCCTACTGTAGTTCTAAAGGTGCTTTAAATAAATAAGGTCGTGCCCATCACCCTAGCCTTTGTGCTTACTAAAGGATTTGTGAAGAACTTTCCCCAAGTTGTAATCAGTTATAGTTGCTGCAAAATGCCTCTTATATTGATGTTGTTTGTTTCCTAGACTTTCCATATGTCTGTTTGTATTGCTAATTTATGGGAGAATATAATGATTTCAATGAATGTGAATTATACAGTCAAGCAAATCTTTTATAATCATAACTAACATACACATGAATCTGGGTCAACCCTGAGATTATTGGTACCTTGTCTATTCACACTGTGACTTGAAAACTCTCCCCTTAACACCAGTTAAACTATGACCAACCTGAAAGCAAAAAGTTGTTGTGTGTATTTGACAGTGATTGTTAAATAAAGACATAACTGAAAGCTGAGACATAGTCTTCTTGAAAACATGTACATGTAAATTGAATAAGTTTTCCCTCCAAAAGATTTTGTGTACTTGTACCTTCTTTATGCTGTGTTATTTGAAAATAAATGACTTGGTGTTTTCCTTTCTTCTTGGAATTCCAGTGTCCAGTTATTGCTTCATCATCTTAGGAGTGTTTTGGGGGCTCTCTTATAGCCTGTACTCCTATCTCTATCTTTCTACATGGTTAGGTAGGACTATCTTTGGGCCTAGCAACTTGAGATAGCAAAATATGGGACTGACAAAACAATGATTGAAGAGAGATCTCTCCGCCCACAATCTCACCCCAATGGCACTGATGGCAGCAACGGATTCACATTTCAGAAGAGAAAAGATTGGATGCTCAGTGGTTTGTTTGGTAAGGATGCCTTCCTATAGCTGTTAGCACTTTCATGAACCACCTCTGATTCCTAGCAAAAGGCCCAGCAACTAATAAGAAGTGAAAAACTTAAAAAAGAGATAGTGAATTGGTTTCCAAACCTGCCTAAACTGACAGTATACCTTAGGCTGAGCTGCCTGCAGAGATCTTGCTAAAATTCTCAGTGGGCAGAGGTCCCCTGAAGTATCTATGAAGACTCTAAATCTTAAGACTAAAATGTGAGTGTTATTATGCTCCATGTCTTTATCTGGTTTTTCACTGGAAAACTTTCCCCAAATGTATCAAAATCATTTTAATCACAAGATCAATCCCCTGCTTCCACTGTGGTCTCTGCTTATAGAATCCAGTACCCTTTCTGGACTCCAAACTGCACAAAAGTCACATCTTGGAGATGTCTGGCTTCTTTCTAATGCTGAGAAGTTGGATGTGGTAACCCTGGCTACAAGGAACAATTGTGTGGAGTGGGAGAATGATAGATACTGGGTTGAAAAATGGCAGGTCTCCTTAGATAATATGTCAGACACCTAGCTCATAGCTCAAGGACTGTATTCCTAGAGGGAGAGGTTCCAGGATAAAAAGAAAGAGGACAAACACATGTGAAAGAGAGACTCAGGCTCTCCCAGGCCTGAACTCTGCTGTGTGTTGGTAGCCTGGAGTCCTCTTAGTTTCCAGGATTGCCTAGTCAGGACTCAAAAGTGCATCTAATCCACACCTCCCTAACCCATGCAGGTTAGTGGCAAATTGGTAAGGCACTGCCTGTTTTGGACCCCAGCATTTCACAGAGTGGAAGAAAAGGAGGGTGTTTGGAGGGTAACTGCCTTTGATATCCTCCAGTAGGTTTTTGGAAAAGAAGGGTTCTGCCTTTGAAACCTCCTAGTCCCAGCAAAAGAAGGGAGGGTAGAGGCAAGGCAAAGAGGAACTCTGCTCCAGGCCATTGGGAAAATTATCACTTACTTCTTGCTTTGTTAAAGTCTATTTGTCTGTCTATCATCTATCATCTATTATCTATCTATCTATCTATCTATCTATCTTTCTTTCTTTCTATCATTTCTTTCTTATTTTTCATGAAGAGTAGAGTGGTACAACCTCTGTCCAAGGTTCATACCCTTTGGTATGTGTCCATGGGAAGCCTCCTTCTAGAATTACTCTCTAGTGACAAATGGCTAAGGCAGCTTAGGGACACAGTCTGCTTAAGACACCCACATTCCTACCAACTTAGGTTTCCCTCTTATTATTTCACAGGAAAGCACCAGGCCCAAATTCTGCTGGCAGTATAGTGACAATGGAAGGGAAGAGCAGTCTATCACTTACTAGCAGCCCTGTATCCTGTATCCTTATGATACAAATTCACTCTGACTTGATTTTGGTCTCTTCAAAAAAAAAAAAAAAAAAAAAAAAAAAAGAAAAAAGAAAAATTCAGATCAACATTTTCAGTAGACAAAAACAAAATAAACAAACAAAAATCCAAAACAAACCTTTATCACATTTAAGGAGCTTGAGTGTTAAAAAAAAGATAGTCTATGAAATATTTAGAGATCAATGCAAGTTATTTTATAATTGTTGTTTATTTACTCAGCTTTACAGAAGTGTCTTATAGCTCCTCAGGGAATTAGATAACTATTTGGGGGCTTTTCTACTTGTGGAGACCTTAAAGGTCAGAAGTTGCATGGAACCTTGTGGCATACTTAGGCATCTGTAAGGCTTGCTTAGAAATCACAGGCTACTATAATTTTGCTTTTCTGAGAATTTTCTATCTTGATATATCCCAGCACTGAAGCAGAACACACAGTCTTTTAAAGCCCTCAGAAAAATGAGCGAGAATTTCTTTTAGTATAGAATAAAGCTGAAGGATCTGAGAGTGTTAATATCACTCTTATAGGACTTGATAAGACTGTGGCATTATATGGAACTCCATGGCCTTGTGAACCCAGGTGTTGAGTTTTTAAATTGTAAGTCTCTGCAGGCTACTGTGCATCCCATGTGGGCTCCTCAGGACTTTGTGAAGGGCAGAGAAAATGCAGTTGGGAAGTGAGGGCCCGCTGAGGACAGGTGAGTTGGAGACAAAAGTCAGACACAAGTATATTCTTTCCAGTAAGGCGTGAGGTGAGCACCTTTTATTCAGTCATGGTTTCATTTTACTAAATCTTCATTGCAGGAAAAATGAGTAACATCTCAGTCACCCAGTAGCCAGATGTTCTAAACTACTATTCTCTGATTGCCATTGGCTTCTTATCTTGTCATGGGGATAGCTTGGCCTTTTCACCCAAATATCACCAGTGCAAAGAATGATTGAGGACATTCTCAGAAAGCTACTGAGTTCCAGCCCTAAACTCACTCAAGAAAAGAGAAATTTACCAGACAATTTGAGGAAGGGGTATCTAAGATTTTGCCCATCTAATGGTTTTCCAAATATCCAAAGAAGCTCTCTGAAAAAGAAAACAGAAAAATATCTCAGGGTGCAAGTTAATTTAATGTAAACATGCCTAACAGCAGATTTTGAAACGTGTCTCACCTATTTTTTTTTGTTATTTACAAGAACCAAAATACAAGTGACAATATAGATCAATTCAAAATAAAATGAGCATTAATATACATGACTCTTACCTTATAATGGATTGATAGCTTTGGAAAATGTCTGTGGAAAGAAAACAGCATAATTTGGTAACTGTATGGCTTTGCTATACTGTTGTAGAATAATGAAAGAGCAGAGAGAAAGCTAATCCACCACAACATCACCACAGTGTCTGTAGTAACATATCAGAAGGATGGGAGAGTTTTTGCGGTGGTTC